TGTAGTCGCAGGAATAATCAATAGCATTTGGATAGTATAACAGAACGCGGATCCTACTTGCCGACTATGATCGGCAGCATTTGGATCGTGTAAATAGATCTTATTTGTCGGCAATGATCAGTAGCATTTGAATCGTGTAAATGGATCCTACTTGTGGGCTATGATTGGTAGCACTTGGATCATGTAACTGGACATGAATCCTTTTTGTGGCTATTATTCGAATTTCTGAATAGCAATGATAGAGGATTTCTTGTTTTTTTTTGCTCAAATCATATTAGGTTCAGGAGTTGTCTCTGAGGCTTCGGCACTTTCGGCTTCGGCACTTTCGGCATCGACACTCACAGCTTGAGGATTGTTGGTCCCGGCAAAGTTTCTTATTGACAAATTGATGCTTGATCAGTCAGCATCAATTTGAGGGGGGATGTCAATCAGGAAAGACGGAAATCAGACAGCTAAACTAGGAGCTTTCTATAATTAAGAGCTTTCTTATTTAAATTATTTCCAATGTCTTTATTCTGATTTATTTTCCTTTTAGCTGAATATTTAGATTAAGAATATATATTATTAAGTTAGTTAAAATAGATTATGCACTTTATTATGTACCTAAAATAGATTGTACAAATCATTATTTATAGCAATGAAAGCTAAGGAAAAGGCATTCGGCTTATTTTTCTCAAAACTCTGACAGTAATACGTAGTAATAACTTGTAAGCAGATTTGCCAACTATACTGATTATCTCCAAAAACTCAACAAATCTCAGATCCAACTTACATTCTCTACAAAATCTACTCACATCCTTTGTAGGGGTAACTTTAAAAAAAACAAAGCTAACCACTTGAAACTCAAACGATCAAGGCTTGTGATTATAATAATTTCTCTATCTATGTGTTGTTCTCAGTCTTTCTTTGATTGATCTAATCTTCTCAATGACACTATCTACTAACTCAGGACTCATCAATCTGCTCGCTAACCTCTATCCAATACATATGAGACTTGCACCTCCTGACATATAATATCTCATATGGTGCTATGCTAATACCAAAATAGAGGCTATTATTATGGATAAGCTTAATCATCAAATATATATAATCTTCTCATCTTCAAAATCAAGTGCACTTAATCTCAACAGTTCCTCCCAAAAATTAATCGTCCTCTCAGACTGACCATTTGTTTGAGGTGAAACATTAAATCAAAGTTTACCTTGATCCCCAAATCCTCATGGATATCTCTCCATAATCTTAATGTAAATCTGTAATTATGATCAAAAATGATAATCTTTGATGTTTCATACAATCTGACAATCTCATATATGTATAACTATGTTAACTTGTCAATTGAATATGTCTCATAAGGATATGTGCTGATTTTGTCAGTCGGTCAATCTCAACCTATGTTGCATCATGACCTTAGTTAAACCTTGAAAAACACATAACCAAATTAATAGTAGTATTATCCTACTACACACCTGGTGCTCCGCTACCCAACTTGCCACACTACCACATGGATCTTAGAGAGCACCAGATTTTATAGGGCGAATCAATGATTGTTAGATAAACAACTAACTCAAAGTAGTTCGAGTCATTATGCTTTCCCGATGCTTCTTTGCCCAAAAAAAAAGGAAATTTGGTGCACGTGGATTGATGTAGGGCTATCGACAAGATCAAACTAAAATATCGATTTCCAATGCCGAAACTAGAAGACATTTTAGACAAATTCGACTTAGGGACTAATGGAAATAGCATTCAAATGCATGAAGGGCTACACGAGTGGAAAGTCATGCAATACGGGTTGTGCGATACACCAATTACCTTTATGCAAAAAATGAACAAGGTATTAAATTGGGATTATTCTGTGCATTTTATTTCAATGATATATTGGTCCATGGTGCTTCTTTTGAAGATCACTTGCAACACTTGTCTAAAATCTTTGGAGCTTTACAACCTCACAAGCTCCATATTCAAATGTGTATTCACTATGTGCAATGTACAAGTTCTTGGTTTCATAATAATAGTTATAGGACTTCAAACGAATCCTCAACAAAGTCTCAGCCATCCGAGAATGGCCAACACCCACTTCCCTATCTAATGTCCGTAGTTTCTATGATTTAACCAACTTTTATCATTAGTTCATACGAGTCCTAGTATAGTCATGGCTCATGCGATTGATTGCTTAAAATCAAAGAGTAATAGCTAGAGTAAAGAGCAATTAAATAGCTTTGAAATCATTAAAAAGGCGCTCACTACAACTCCTATTATAGCTAACTTTGACTTCAACAAACATTTCCAAGTGGATATTGATGCCTCGATAGCAGGAATATGCACAGTTTTAACTCAAGAATCTCACCCTGTAGTATTCTTAGCAAAAAATTGTGTCCAACAAAGAAGTGGACAATATACCAAGAAGAACTGTAAGCTATCATTCATGCACTTAAGCAATGTGAACACTACTACATCAAGATTTCACTCTATGCAATGATCATCAAGCTTCACAGTTCCTCAATTCTCAAAAAAAAGCTATCAGTATGCATGCCAAATGGAGTCCAATCTTGCAAAAAATTCAACTTTGCATTGAAACGCAAATTGGATCCACAAAACAGGGTGGTGGGCGCTCTTAGCAAGCGGTCCACTCTTCTTACCACGCTAAAATCATTAGTCACCAACCTCAAATGCCTTAAAGATATGTATGCCGAAGATCAAGATTTCTAGGCCATATGGACATAGTACAATCTAGCTAACCCATTGATGACTACTCCCAGCGCTATTGGTACCTATCCAAAGGGAACCAGTTGTGTGCCCTGAATACACCCTTGCATGTATAGCTTATTAGAGAAATGCATGCAAGTGGTCTAGCCGCGCAAATAGAGTGAGAGAAGACCCTAGTTCATCTTAAAGATCGATTTTGTGTCAACTGCTGAGAAGATATGTCCCCATATTCGTGGAGAAGTGTCTAATCTGTCTAATTTATAAAGGCAGGACTCAGAATACCAAGTTATACACACCATTACCTATTTCAGAATCAACTTTGGAAAGAACTTAGCTTAAATTTTATTTTGTGATTACCAATGACTGAAAGAGGAACTAATTATATAATGGTGTTGTTGATTTTTTTCAAAATAGCCCATTTTGTAGCTAGCAAAAAAAATTTTTGACAGACTCCATATTGCCCGTCTATTCTACCATGAAATTGTTCATTCAGAGCATCACTTGTGATCGAGATGTTAATTTTGTAAGTAGTTTTTTAAGGGAGTATTGGAAACATTTGTGAACTACACTTCAATTAACTTTAGCATACCACTCAAAAAAAGATGGACAAACTGAAATCGTTAATCATATCCTTGGAAATATGCTTCCCGTTTAGTGCAATATCATCCTAAACAATGGAACTACATATTGAGCGAAGTCGAATCCATATATAGCTCCATGACTAATTGTTCCACTGAGAAGAGCCCTTTATAATTTTTTTATTCAAAAATGCCAAATCATACGGTGGACCTTGTCGTGCCGCCAAAAAGCAAAAGTAGAGTTGCTACCTCTATGGCCTAAGATGCCACTCACCTAATGCACGAAGTTCGAACTAGAATAACAAATTCCAGCACTGATTACAAGCAACAAGCAAATGTCATAAGATGTTTCATATTGGAAATCTTGTTATGATCAGATTTTGCAAAGAAATGTTCCCATCATTCGCCTATTCCAAGCAAGGGGTGTCCATTTGGTCAATTTGGATGATTTGAATGATAAATTTGCAAAAACAATTGATTTTAAATGTCCAAAAATGTAACCAAAATCGATAAAAAAATGCATAACTAAACTAACAGAACAACAATTTCGTTCAATTATTTCGATTTGGTTTTGGATAAATGAAAATTAACTATATTTGAAACTTATTTGCAAAATTTATATAGATTATGCAATTTTTTATAATTGATAAGCAAAAGACATGTTTAAAAATATATAATTAGAAAAAAACTAGTTACTTTCATGAAAGTTCAAATGGAGAAGATGAAGCCAAACCAAAACGGAAAGTGCAAAATGGGTTTTAATATATTACTACTTAATTGATTTTTTTTTATTTTACCCAAAAAAAGGATGAAAACCCCGCTAATCTCAAAACCAAATATTTCATTGATAAAAAGAATATTCAAACCGCTAATCTCAAAACCAAATCAAATCGTTCAAATAATTTGATTCAATTTGATTTTCTTGTTATAAGCAAATAATGCAGACCACTATTCCACATTGAGCTCATTAAACTCAACCCCTTTACTATAAGTAAGTCATAAATGAGAACGCTTCTATTCTAGATTTGCCACATGATATTCTTATATCTTCTACTTTCAACGTTTCAAAAATCTACCCTTACCATCCATCGGATGAAGCCCACACACAAATACATTTACGCGACATGAGTTTTGTTTGAAAGGAGGGGTGATCTAATGTAATGTTCCTGCAAAGGAAGTTTACCGCCACTTATAATTCAGTTAATTTAACCACATTTTTCACAGCTTTAATAATGTTTCTTTTAGTATGGAGATACCGTGTTATCATGCCAGGTGGAAGTACATGGAACTTCCGAAAAGAAAGAAAGAGCATTTTAATTAATTTTCTCTTTTCTCTGCCTCCTGTATTTTGTTTTCTCTTTACTAAAGCTTCTACACAGACGAGTCATAGCCTATAGACTATTACAATCAGCAAAATAATATCTAAGGACAAAATAACGTCAATAATGATCAATTCATTTAGTTTCCTTTGCTAATCCAACCATGTAGAATACATACTTCTAGCAATTTACATACTGGAATGCGTTGAATATAAAGGGAAGGCATTCACTCAATCAACTTCAAATGACACAAAAAAAAGAAAGAAAAAGATCATTGAAGCATAACATATGAATGACTCGTTCATAAAAATTAACAAATAAAAAGGCACTGAAAGTAACGAAATATGCATCAAGAACATAAATGGAAAATGCAATGTAGAATAAATGGAAAGAATCTCACAACTCATAAAATGCCATGAAAGTAATAAGATATCTAGCGGGATCTTCCAAAGCATTCCAAAGACTTTTCTCATAAGGAATTTCTTCCACAATTGAGCCTCCCGAAAATAATGCAAAAGGATTCCGACTTGCATACTTGTGAAATTTTCGAAAAATCCTAGGCATAACAAACCATGCTAGCAATGTTGCTGCCATAGTGCCACCAACAGGGATTAGTACTTTCTCCATATATGGATGTGAATCATACAGTTGTTGCATGTAAGAAGTTACATCATTGGAAACCTCCTTCACTTTTCTTCCTGTGTAGGAAACAGCACCAACCACAAACTGATGAGCATCATTCAAAATATCACTCCACTCAGAATCATTAGTTTTCTCTATTGTTTCTTTTGTATAATCAGTTGGATTGCCATTTTGAAGGCCATCTGTATTGCTGCTGACATCAGATGAGTAGGAACGACAAGAAAACGGCATGCCCAATGGGAGATAGTGATGTTGTAAATGTAAATCCTTTTTCATCAAACAAAGGCTGTTTAAGGATCTAATATAATTTTTTTTAGAGAAACTATTACTGCATTGTTTAATCTTGTGGAAAGATAATGGAAATGGTGTATCATTTTCCTCCAATGTATGATGTAAGGCTTTTGCCTCATAATTCTTTCCTTCACTGAAGCATGATGCTATTTGAAAGTAATTCCACCTGAACTTTGAAATATTCATACTGTGCATATGTAAGTGTGATGATCCAGCATGAGAACCATACCTATTCAAAGCATGCAAACAAATTCTTGACATGGTCAAACTTTCTTCAAGTTTTCTTCACAAAACTGTAACCTTTTGTGCACCTTTATAGCAAAATGGCACCTTTTAATCCTATTAGAACCTCATGGAAAGAAGAAGCCATTAATCAGCATACAAAACAATGTTCAAAAGAATGTATAAGTGACAAGAAACTGGTTATGATAAAATCAAAACTAGCCAAAACAGCTTGGGGTGAGATGTATGATGTAATGAAAAGAATGAGATAAGATTTCCATTGGAATAAGTTCTTTCAGATACTATCTTCTCTCAAAGGCCCTTGACTAAACCATCAGGCTGTATTTAAAATTGTTTTCGTGGTCAATATTGAAAATAGGCATCATTTTCATTAACCTTTCCCAACTAATTATGATTGGATCTATCAGTTCTCCATTTATTCACGCCGCATGCTCAATGAGGGTAAGTCTTTTTTTTTCAGTTTCAAGCTATATTATCTTTTGTCTACTTTTTTCCTGCCAACTTATTTTACATCACTCAACTATCTGCCTTACAATATGCAGTATTTGCTCCCAAATGAATAGGCCCAAAAGATTTAATTTTACTTTGCACTTTCTTTTCTTCAATAACATTAAGGCTGTTTTTGTTTCCATTTTTTGACCCACGGTTGGGAATGGAACAGGATTTTGGAGGGTTTGGAAGAAGCGTTTCGTAACTCCGTTTCAAACCGTGATTTCAATTTTTACCGTGGTTCCTCAGCCTTTTTTTCTGGTTTATCCTTTTTGTGTCTTGACTTTAATAAAATGTGAAGCTTTTTTTTTTTTTTTTGGTGAGAAACTCACGGTCTGTAGCAAAGATGAATTGAGAGTACAATAAAATGCATTTATTTACACACATACCACAGAATTTTTATTTATATACTATAATACTTATCATGAACTATATGTAAAAAGATTGGAGCTTAGTTGAAATTTTGAGTTTTCTCAGTGTGTTTGAATGATTTTTGTCTGTTTTGTGCATGACCTAATTTCCTGCAAACTCAATTTCAACTAAACACCGCTCAGATCTTAACTAAAACAATAAAACAATATTATGATATGCCTGCTTCGAGTGAAAATTCAACAAATGTAGGACTGTCAACGCAATTTTTAGTAAAGCAAGCAACCCCAATAAATCAAATAAACAAAAGCACGGACTCCAAACACCTGAAAACTTCAGTCCAAAACACCATTTCGCTCTTCTTTTCAGGTCCGTAATCTAAACCTAGATGTAGGACAAAATACATAAATTCATTCAGGAGCTGAGGCATCAAGACTTTCGAAGATAGGAAAAGAGACATGCATGGCAAGAAAAACTTGCAACGCAAAAAGAAATGAGTGAAGAGGACTGTTGAAATAATGTAGCAATCAATCCATCGGTGAAGCTATGCTGAAAGGATTCAGAAGGCAGTGAGAGATTACATTTTTCTTCTCACCTTTTTCGGTCACCCCCGGCTATCGGAGGTCCGCCCTGGCTAAGTTCAGGGATCGGCCCGAAGATATCTGGATCGCCAGCCAACAGCCATTATGGGTTCGTCTAGATAGCTACGACAGTTCGTGTTCGGTTCGTTCGTTAATGAGTTCGTGTTCGATTCGTTCGATAAATAAACGAGACAAACACGAACAAATTTTTTTCGTTCGGTTAGTTAAACGAACCAAACACGAACAGTGATGCGTTCGTTCGTGTTCGAATCGTTATTGTTTGAAATATAAAATAATATAAAATAATTATATATAAAAAATTTATTATATTTTAAAACATTAAATTTTATAAATTATAATATATAATAAAATAATAATAATAATATATTAATATACTATAGTAGTAATATACTAATATAGATATTGTATATTTATATAATATAAGTTATATAATTAATATATAATATTATTTTTATATATTAATATTAGAGATGTCAAACTAACTCGTCGTTCGCGAACAGCTCGTGTTCGGTTCGTGTTCGGCTTTTTCGTTAAGAAACGAAAACGAGCTTATTTCAAACAAACTAAATTTTAAACGAACCGAACACGAACACAAGCTTTGTTCGTTCGTGTTCGGTTCGTTTACACCCCTAGCTACGTAAGGCTAACAGTAAACAAATCGATCAGAGCTGGAGCCAGTCCGATTCGGGTTTGAGCTTAATTATTTTTTTCTTATTTATTTTCATTAATATTTTATAGTGAGCTTAATTAATTAATTAATTAATTAATTAATTAATTAATATGAGCATAACATATATATTCTACTGTATGTAATCCCATATCATTTTCTATTATAATACATATATATATATATATATATTAGACAACTTATGAGCCAAGATATTTATTATAAAAGAGAAAAATTAGTACAAGCTGTTGTTGTAATGAAATAATAAGCAAAAAACAATTTTTTAATTTTTTTTATTAATTTATATTTAAAATTCTAAATTTTAATATGTATAAAATTTATTTTATATCATTTTTTTTATTGAGCTATCTCTTGAACTCATGAGTTGAGGAGGCCAAGGCTCGTCTTTTCTGAGCTAAACTCGTGAGTAATTTATTAAATCAAGCTCTTATTTTCTCTCTATTGCTTTATCCCCATGCTTTTTAAATAATCACTTTTTGACAGCACAAAGAAAAATTAGGTACTAGATGTTCATTATAGGATTTAATAAGTGATAGAATATGGGGTTGGCCTTTGTCTTTTTGTTATTAAAAAACAAAAGACATTATGTATAAGATAAATTTAAAGTTTGATCTTTTAAAAATTTTGTATATTAGGAAGTTTTATTTTTGCAAAAATTTATCATAAATTATTTCATTCCTTTTATTTTAAATTTTAATTTTATCCCTAAATAACAAGTATTGAGCATTGGATTCAAAGTGATGAAAGTATTAGAGAGAGTTCTCTACAAATAGTGTCTTGAGTCCAATAAAGTGAGATTGTGAATTAAAGGTGTCATTACAGACATGTTTTATTCAAATGAATATTGCATGTTCAAAGTTGATGTATTTCTGAAGTCCTTACGAAAGTTATGTGATACTCAGCTTGGTTGCATGCTCAATGAAGGATTTATTGTAAAACAGCTCATAACAAATATGTGACTCATTTTAAAAAATGTGACACTTAAATTCATGTGTACAATAAGGTTTTGGGGGTGGGTTGGTGGGAGGAGCTAATAAAAATGCAAAATTCATAAATTTATTATGTCCTTATAAAAATGCAATAAAATTTTACATTACATAAAAACATTTAATGATAAGGATTACTTCTCGACATAATTCCAAATAATAATGCTTTGTTAACCATTTTTAAACTTATTTGGTTTCAAACAGAGCGAGAGAATCATATAAATTGTCACCAATTTAGTCATATGATGATAAATTTCAACCATTTGTTGACAACCCAGCGCTGTTGCTTTGTGTTATTTTAGTTGAGAGCTATGTTCCATATTTGCTTTTGCATCATTGAAAGATATAGAAAGATAAAAATCAAAGGATAAGAATATGGGATCATAAGACTCATAAATGGCGGTGTAATCAGGCCAAGTCACCTTATGATAGATTTGAGCTCAGCTAGATAAATGGCTTGTGAAATGAGCTCAATGAGCTAAAGAATCAACTTGAGCCAATCTTAGCTTGACTAGTTATGTGAACATGCTTATTGATAAGAGTTCAAAATTGTGTACATAGTTTTAGTTTTTATTTTACTTATTTTTTTGTATTTTTATTCTTTCTTGTAATATTTGTTCTGCATTTTATAGTATACATATAGAAAACAGTATTATGAGAAAAATAAAAAATTAGAGACAAGCGCCTCAAAGCTAAATGATGTGCATATAATATGATGTAATATTATAAAGTGTTCAGAGCATTTCTATATTAGTTTTTATATTTTTCGTCTGTATATATTGAGTATTTGAAAAGTATATAGAGACAACTGTGACACTTAGAAAACCTAGTGCTATGTAAAATGCTAGTATCGAAAGGCAATTGACTCAACATTCGAATTAAATTTCCTCTATCTGAAAAACACAGTGTAGGACACTGCAGCACTAAGGGTCAAGTGCCTGAATTCAAAAGGATAGCGTCGTCGCGCTGACAGATACAAAGTCAACAAACCCACATAACTAGAATAACGAATCAAAGTCACGAAATGCATCGCATGAACCGCCACGCCAATTGGCAGTGCTCCGACGACACCAAGTTAGTGCTCTAACGCTCTCCACCGACTAAAGGTGATTTCAACAGTTTGTTGATAGTTTGACTAATGGAAATACATAAACACTACAAATTGACACAAAAGGACTCACTTGAGCATGATGGGGAAGAGAAATGAAGGCTTTTGCTGAAACGACCAAAGAGTGTAGGTGCTTAGAGGGTGTGTAAGAGTGTGAGTGTTAGAGTGCATCAAGGAAGTTCATTGTAAAATAGAATATCATCTTGGAGCAAAAGAAGATTTAAACTCGGTGTGATTTTTTTTTTTATTTGTAAACTTTGATTTTACTTTCATTGAAATCTATTGTGTTTTTTTGTGAGATATTTTAAGGAACTAAATTTCTTACTTCTTTAAATTGACAATGTGAAAATCTACTTCATTCCATGTAAATTTCTGATCCCGATGAAATATAGTTGTGTAAAAATTATATAGTTGACTTCGCTATGCAACGGTGCCAAAAGCTTGATGCAATATTTTATGAATTAGAAATTTAAGCAATTAATGTTGGGATTCTATGCAAGTATTCATATCGTTATGAAGTAATAAAAGACTTTTAATTTAAGCCCCACATATTGATCCCACGGGGAAGGTTTAAATTTGAAATGATAAATTTACTAGGAAATTCATAAAAAGTAAAAATGAAATTACAGTCACAAATTTTGAATGTTAAGATATTATCAGAACTAAATTATTTAACTAATAACAAAACTGAAATACAAAGTTTAAACAGTAACTACTAAACGATTAAACTATGTTTATGTGACGAAAATTTCTTATGTGAAAAAGTATTTTTCCCACTACAATGAGATTTTGGTAAAATGAGATGAGATAAATGATTTTAATATATATTGTGCCAAATAGGATCCGTTTTAATTCTCTACCCTGATATAGTGTTATAGAAAATCATTGGCTAATCCCAAGTTTAGTCCCTAAATCCATGGGTAGGCTAGGAGAATACTGGCTCCCACTCCAGAGCTCCCACTTCCATTCACCTGAAGGCTAACTCTCACTTTAGTTTTTCAACACTAAGACCGAATTGGGGATTTTAGTCTGTCACCCTAAAGATTCTCCAATTCTACACCCAACAAAGTATATTTCCCTATTTATTTGCATTAAATTCCATGAACAAAATTCTCCTTCATGAAATCAAATGTGATCCTCACTTTGTTGTAGAACTCATACTCTATATCCCGGATCATATGTTTCACAACATATTTTAACAATTTAATTGGTCAGATCAAAAAGTGAATTAAGTTCGGAGTTGAAAAATCATCACAATTTAATTTATATATTAATATTTGCACATCCATATTATCTCTTCATTTCACCATATCTTAGAGTAGGGAGAAAAATAAAATAAACTACTCAGACTTCATGAGAAAGATACAACAAAACATAAATTTCATATATAAAAGAAAGTTTATACAACTTAATAAACAAACAACACTTATCTGAAACTCTTTCTCAAAGCAAATCCCTTGTAGCCTCCTCTAGGAAATGTAGGAAGAAGAAATCTCTCGCTTTTCTCCTTGTCCAATACTCTTAGAGAAGATTTCACACTTAATCTCACCACAAAACTCTAAATTATAAGAACAATGGACTCCGAATGGTTGTGGAATGAAAAATGGAAGAATGTGTGAAGCGTGGAAGATTGAATTGGGTGATGAGATGTCAGGAAAAGTCACTTTTCTGATCAATTTTGGCCCCAAATAAAACCTAGAGTCGGTTCTCCAAAAGATGCCTCCAAAAACTCTTCAAAAAAGCATCCAAATTCATCAAATCTTCTAGAAACAGGGGCTGAACCGACATTGGCACCGTCAGCACCAGTGTTCCGCAATTTAATTCGCTACTCTAAGTCAAACGGTACCATCGATGCTGCTTCTGACGTCGTCGGCGCTGAACAAATTTTTAACTTCTTCATTTTTGTTCCAAATTTCATCCTTTTTTGTTTCATTTTTGGTTTAAGTCCTAAAATTCAACAACCTGCAAAAAAACATAAAAATATCTTCTATTAAAGTGCAATATCACAAAAAATGAGTATAATATATGTGTCTAAAAATGCATATATTTTTGGTGTATCAATTTCCCATATTGAATTATGTCGTAGTGATGTGATGATTTTTAGAACTTCATTTACTTTCTGACTTGCCAATAGAGATGATAAAATAAATTGTGTTGTATGACTATTAATTGTAAATTACATAAATAATTAAGTTAATGCACAATTTCTTAGTGAAATCTGAATATTACCATTTAGAGAATGCAATCACATAAGAATTTTAGGAATCTTGGGAGCCTTTGTAGAATTAGGAGGACTTAAA